GTATCCCCCTAAAACCGCCGTCACCGGACGCCGGGCCCCCGACGGGCCCGAAACAAACCACGACGGGAGAATCTCTTTAAACACGGCGAGAACCGAGTTCACCCCGCCGGTCGTCCAGATCAGCGAGGCCCCGAGCGAGGCCGCGATTTTGACTCGGTCCATCGCGCCGGAGAGCGACACCTGTCCGTACCTCGACCCGTGCCGAGTCTTCCTCAGCTTCTGCGCGCTCTCCGAGATTTCCTCGACGGTCTGCATGAGGAGACGAACCATCTGCTCGGTCATGAGGATGACGCTCCTCACGGCTCGGTGGACTCGCAGGTAGAGAGTGCCGGGGGCGACCGCGGAGGAGTGGGACCCGAAGCCGTGGCCGAGGAGGGGGCCGACGCCGCCGGGGGAGGAAGGGAGGCCGAGGGCGGAGGAGAAGCAGGCGCGGAGGAGCTGGACGATGGAGTCGTGGTTGTGGTGGAAGATGGTTTGGGAGGCACCGTAGATGAGGAAGTCGGACCAGCGTTTGACCTTTTGGGACCAGAGGGCGGAGATGATGGGCATGCTGGGCCAAGGGCAGCCCACGCCGAGGTGGTTAAGGGCCGGGCCCATTAAGGATAGGTAGCGGCGGTCGTTGAGACGGTCGAGCTTGTATGTTATTGTGAAGCTGATGAGGGCGGCGAGAGGGAGAGGGAGGGTCACGTGAGAGCTTGCGCCTGTGTGTAATGTTGATAATGATAGGTAACGGATTAAAACCGGTTTTGATTGGATTTTGAGTTGAGAGTGAGTTGATTTTTTAAATAATATTTAAAATGTAATGATTAAAGTTGATTTGGTGTAAAAATAGGAGACAAGTTATTGGAAATGATAGGTGGTTAAAAATATGTGAGTTAAAATGTAATGATTAAAGTTGATTGATTGGTGTTATTTAATTATTATATGGGTAATATTGAGGAGAGTTGGGTTGAATTAAATATGAGTTGAATTTTGAGTTAAAGAGTGTAAAAGTATTATCCGATCCGGTCAAAAACAGTTTTGATCCGTTACCAATAGCAGCCTCACTGTTAACTGATAACATAAGTTTGTGGACTTTTATAATATACAACTGGAAGGTTGAAGAAGCATATACTCGATATGAAAAGGAAATAGCAAGTCTGAGTAAATAAGGTTTAGAAAGCTAAATAGTAAATACGCACCTACAGGAAGACATGGGACATTGACACCAGTGGCAGCAAGGATATTCTTTATCTGTTCTTCAACCATGGATAGATTTGCAGCAGGGCTTGGCCAGTCGGTCCCGTTCATAGAAGCATGCTTCCAAATACCCCTACTCACTTCTGCTGAAAAGTAACTTATCATGGTCGCCAAGGAAGCAGGAATAAAATCAGCAAGATCTTTGAGTCCTGACACATATATCATAGTAGTCTCCCTTCAGTTTTTGATATAATGCCACCCAGGAAAAAAAGTAAAAAAAAATTATATATAAAGGACCACAGGAACCAGTGTTGCAGATGTGACAAGATCAATAACATTGCAAATTATGAGTATTGAGTTTCTGCAACACATAACGATCAACACATAACGATCATAGGCCAAGGGTCGGATCACTGTATCGACACTAACTTTTACTCTCTCAATAGTGTCCTTAGGAAAATTTGTGAATATCTATAATAGAGTCTGATAAATAACCACCTATAAATTGCACTACTTCAGTTGGTGATCATGGGAAGTACTGCAAAAAGATTACACTCTCTGTAGCAGATCGTGAAAATATACGACACATTCGAGCATGCTCAGAAACGGAAAAGTGATAGAGCCAGTCAACATCTATTATTGCCGAGTGTATAAATTTTGTCTAAGAAACACTACATGCAGGATGTAAGCATATATATAAATTGCAAACCTGTAATCAATTCACGCGGGGATAGTCTCCCATGGGCACAGGCAGTGAGGGCAGCATCAAGAACAAATGGAATAGCCTCGAGTATGTCCCAGGCAGGAAAGTTAAGGCGGTGAAAGGATTCATCAGGGCCAGATACAGATGAGCTGCTGCTTCCTGAAGTCGTAGGAGTCAAAGTTTGACCTCCTCTGTTAATTCTTCTAAACATCATGCTAAGAAGTGCCTCAACAATCTGATGGATCGTGTTTCCAGGTACCAGACTGGAAAGAATAGCACCAATGCATTCTTGATGCTTTCTGTACCAATGTTTGAGCTTCGGGAATGAATCCATGAATACGGGGCCCCTCGAAGATGGATATGACAATCTTGACCATTTATTAGATTTATTTTGATTTTTTCTTAGATTTTCATGAGAAGCTAGCTGGGAATTGTGTACCAATAGGAGGAAGTCTAGAGTTAAATGAGATCCCACTGGAGCACCGTCTCCCATTACATGTTCCAACGGTGGGTGATCAAATCTCCATAGTTTCAGCAGCAGAGTAAATGCATTTGAAAATACAGCATAAGAAGCAAGCTCCTCCCCGTTAACTGTCCACGACATATTGCGTGCACAGGAACCGAAAACCTCACAGATTGGCATCAATGCAGCTGCAAGTTGAGGAACCTGGAACAAAAGGAGTTTAAGTGTATCACGCATAGAACTTTATCGTTTGCTCTTTCTTTCCCCCAATGATGATGTCCTCTAGCTCATAATTGTTCTTGATCGCATGGTTTGAATCCATGCTACATTCTATTTCTGTAAATACTAAAATAGGTGTAACTGATGGCTAGAGGAAAAGAACCGGTCAAAGTGATAGTGTATATACAGGTCTTGTATTTGCTTATTATATCATAACTTGAATGGTAAAAATAATAATAATAATAATATTATTATTATTATTATTATTATTATTATTATTATTATTATTATTATTTTGTTGGGCGTGCCATTTAACTTCGTGAATACATACTTAGAAATCAGGAAGCACAGATGAATCATGAAACGGGACCTACCAAACCGTGCAAGGAAAATATCTGAACACAGTCGATAGATGATATCCCGACAAGAAGAACATTCAAAAATGGAGCACAACCTATCAAGTGACTCTCAATTCCAGAAAAATTTGTAGGAACAGCCGGTGAAAGCAATTTCATTATCATGTGGAGTATATGTTCCTGCAAACAAAGCAACAAGTCGATAAATTATCTTTACTGAACTAAGACGAGAAGTGCAATTAACACATTTTTATTAAAAAGAGGAATATTTAAAGATATTGATCTAAAATGATTTCTCAAGCACCCATCTCCTCCACAACAGGAATGTAGAGAATTTGCTAGTTTCACCAAATATGGGAACAGGGTAACATGTTTGGTTCCATTAATTGAGCATTAATTCTCATATTATATATACAATGTTTGATAATCTTTACCTGTATAGTCCACCCACGAAAAAGAGACGCCCCACAAAATATCGTAGCAGCAGAAATCTTCTCCTCATCCGATCCACTGACAGCAATCTCGTATACCCTCTCTATTTCTGCTAAGCTTGTATCAAATCCATAAGCTCAAACTCAGTTTCATTACCAATGAGATGTACCAGAATGTAGGGTCTGAGCACCACTAGCTTGAATTAATTGATTAAATTCATGTTTTGGGTGTCTTATGGCATAAATGTTTCTAATCTGATATTCACTTGCTTACTGACAAGTATATCAGAAATGGACCTTCAACTGACAGGGAGTACTATGGTTGGCAACAGATAAAATTTGTTCGACTGATCACAAATTCGACAATCATTTAATTACTCCTGTTTCTTATTTAAAGAATTCTAGCAAATACACTGAAAATTTTAAAAAAAAAAAAAAATGAAGAATGGGGTGAGGAAATATTGTCGGGATCCATAAAGTAATCATAGTCTTGCTCTTGCAGGCTAAGCTATTCAGAAATTCAACAAAAAGATACTGGAGTAATATCCAAGCAGTGTTATTAACGGTGGAATGGCGGTAAATGACGGTTTGCCAATATTCCACCTTAGCGGCCGCTGTGGCGGCCTATGGAGCCGCCATAACCGCCGACCTTCACAAATTTAGCATGGTGATTTGTCAAAAATCCACCACGCCATACCGCCATGGCCGCCATTGATAACACTGCATACTGACTAATAAATTGACCGCCCAGCAAAAGCATTTCCAAAAGTACAAGCCAAAAAGACAGAAGTTACTAAAAGTGACCTTATTGTCATTTCTCAGTTACAAGGGCTCATATCGTCATAAATATGCTGTGATTTTGGTCCTTTCTTTGTACAACTAGCCATGAAGTAATCAAATCGACAAAATAGTAGCTATACGATAAAAGTTAAAAGAAATACATCCATCAAGAGACTGAAAAATAATGTTACAAAATTAGAACTGCAATCTACCTAGTAGCTGGAGTTGATACCAATGCACTGATCATGGGAGGAGTTAAAGGCGACCCTTCCATTAATGATGACCAATCAGGCATTTGCCCGGAAATGTTTCGAGGTATTTGATTGCAGCGACCTTTTACATACCCAGGCCACCTATATGCTGACGTGTCCAGAACATTTCTAGCAATGCATGCCTCGACAATCAGATGCCGAAGGTTTCCCGCTGCAGATCATAAAAAAGCAAATTAACAATGAAACGGCATATGAAAGAACACGATAAAGGAGATGATGAGTCAAATAGTTGATATACACCCCCCTGCCCAAAACATCACCTCCCTCACCATGAAATAGAACAAAAGGAGACTTGTTACTCACCCAACAGGAAACTGGAATATAATTACAATATATTGGCATGAATTGACAAAATGAATTGACAAAAGGAGACTTGTTTCCCTTGGGTTTCATCTCTAGCCTACCCCGACTTGCTTGGGACTAAAGGCTATGTTGTTGTTGTTGTTGTATATTGGCATGAATTGACAAAATGAAGACAAAGGTAGGGTAAATTAGACTTAATTATTTAACCAGCAGACAGATAAAGGATGCGGCTAGAAAATGGACAGGTGGAGACAATTTTTGATCTTTTGAATAAAAAAGAGAAAAAAAGAAGTAGCATGCTATAATGACTAGGGCATATTTGGCAAGATTAGAGAAACTGAGTGGATGTTAAATCCAAATGCGACACGATAGTGCAATTGCACATGTCAAACAATATCAGCCTACGAACATGTAATCTACACAGCAGCTTTTCTGCAAGTGAATCAACACAGACAATTTTTACAATAGTCATCACACAACACAAGAAACTAAAAACATGAATGTTCACACTTGATGCAAGGCGTATAAGAGATACTCACAACAATTCGGGGGCATGTCATTCAAACTCATTCCATTAAGAAGCCCACTCCCCACAGAGACACCAGAAAGGAACATCATCGCTTTTAAAGCAGCTTGATTAGCCAATGGGCTTACAACTTGTGGGGGAGTCAATAATGTTTCAAAATCAGCCAACTGCTGGAGGCTGGAAACTAAGTCTTCACGACGTTTTCCCACGAATTCAGTATGTTTTCTCTGACCAATGGAGCTTTGTTCGGCCTCGCCACTTAACATGATCTCCTCCTCTTCAACAATATTAACCACAGCAAGAGTTGTAATGGACAATAGCAAGCATAAACAAGTATCTGTGCGTGGAACAGGACCCTCAATTGAATTCCTCTCCTGAACAGATCCAGTGAAAAATTGAGCAAATATTCAACAAACACAGCGTAATGCCTACAAATGTAAAGATTATAGTGACAACTCTACCAACCTCAGGTAACAATTTCTAAACAAAATAATCATAAAAACTCTTAGCATTAGAAGTCATGTTTGTCCCACATGATAAGTTACGGAGCTGTTTCGTATGTAGATGTGAGTTTGGCACCTTCTCCCTTTGAGCAAGCCTTTTGGCATGCGTTCTAGCCAGGCCCATCTTATAATTAGGTGTATTCCAAAGGCAAAATTGTGTGTGAATGTGCATGTAGAGAGAGAGAGAGAGAGAGAATAATTTTGACAATATTTACTCCTACATTTGACATTAAATTAAGGAAGAAAACATGTTACATTTGCTTTATCTTGATTTAGCTCTTACCCTCTGAACAAGACGTAAAGCTGCAGTCCACAAACCAAGAAATGTATCCTGCCAAGTGGTTTGATTTACAGCCTGGAGAGACTTCACTAGACCTGCAATAAAACCTATCTACATTAGCAACTTTATCTATTCCTAAATATTTAGATTTTGAACCACGGTTATGGGAAAAAGTACCAGTTAAAGTTTCAGCAGCACTGGTAGCTCTCACTTCTGATCCATCCATCATATCTTCTAAATATAGATCTATAGGAAGCCAGAGAGCCGAGCGAACAGTACCATTACATTTACCACTAGCTGATACAGGAGTGGTAGCAACTAGGCTCATTTTACACGCACGAGACAGAAGTCTCCGTTTATCTGATGTCAACTGCTGAAGTGCTTCTGGAGAGGTATTCTTTGAGTTCCTTAAAGATGCAGAACTTGTGGTCAGTAGTTTTAAATGATGAATGAAGCAATCCCAATGAGTTGGCCTACAAGCAAACAGCGGAAATCAAGCTTCAGATCAGAGCAACTATACAACCATGAAGAAGTTGAGAAGCTCAGATTTATGGCATATGCATCTTTAAGGGATACTACTCCGACTCACGAGTGACACACACACACTATTTGGTGTCTGCCAAGACTCAAGAATGCTGAACAAGTACACCAAAGTTTAAATATAAGGAAACAGAAAGAAATAAGAAGCTTACATGTTACGCCTGGCCAAGTAAAGTATCCGGCAAGCCACCTTGTTCTGAAAAAACTCAGCAATTATTTCAATAGCCATTACAGTATTCATCTTACTCAGTGCTGCTTGATGTTCCAAACTTTTCCCTTCAAATCCATCAATACAGTCTATTTCCATGTCTTGACTCTTGATTGGCCACCTTGATTTCTTTTCAAAGGCGAGCTCTAACAGGCCATCATCATCAAGTGATGCATCAAGTAGTTTCCATACAATTGAAAATATAAATTCAACAACAATATGCCCAGGTCCAGAGGACTGAACTCCGAATATTTGACGAAGATGGAGCACATTGTTAATGGATTCCATAGTCCTGCCACGCATTAATAATTGTAGTAAGATGTCGGCGGACTTTGTGTGTGTCCATGCAAATAAATGAAATTCACGTGCTTCTGTTAGATTATACAGCATTTTCATTATAACACGATGACTAACTAAGCCAAACATATCTGTCAGCTGATATAAGAGAGTAAATTCGCTCCACTTCACATACTTTGATCACAGGATCGTGTAATAGACAAAAGCATGTTTTGACTTGATGGTGAAGATAAAGCAAACAGAAGAAAAAAGACTTGTTTCACTTTGAACGGATCCTCGTAACCCACAGGAAGTCCAGAAATTTCAGAAATTAGTCCTTGTATATTGAGTAAGAAACTGGACATTCCTGCTCAGCATTGTAAACATGAAGGAAAAGCAAGTGCTAGCATACACCAGTTTAGGGAACTTGAAATGACACAATAGGAGATAGAAAGGGATCTCAAATTTCAGATTTATCATGAATCCATTCAATCTCAAAGATACCAAAGAGTTAACCACCAAAGTAATGGGTCTAGCAGTTCATACTTGTGATAATTGGGACCACTAATCAAAGATGGCAGTGAAAAAGCATATCTCCTGAGAAGCTCCATATACAATCTGTAAGCTACGGGATACTTTCTTCGACTTGGTATTGCCCTGCACAGCAACACAAAGTAAGATAATATGTCACACACCACTCAGCACATCCTGCTCGGTAGCCACACAAACAGGTAGTCTCGAGCTGAACAAGCCCAACCCCATTAACATAAACAGGTTAAAGATATTATTAAGAAAGATTAAAGAAAAATACCTGGCCGAGAGAAGGGCGAGAACGAACAGAGGTGGTATGATACGAACGGTGAGAGCCTTCTCGAGGAACTTCCACGCGATTGGGGTGTTGTTCGACCAGCAGATGTGAGAAACGAGCAGCTCCGCCACCTCAACGGACGGCATGGAGACGCCGGCGGCATTGAGACTCGACGAGAGACGCGTGGCCCATATCAGGGGGTCGGTGCCCGTCTCCTGCGCGGCCTTGGTCATCTCCACCACGCCGTCCCACAGACGCTGCTGCTTCGCCGCCTCGACCGCCATGTGATCCCTCCGAATCCAAAAAATTGTAACCCTCGGCTGGAGATGAATTCCGGCGGGCGCAGAAACCCTCGGGTCGCAGAATTTGGGGGGAAAAATCGCCGGCTACACCGCCACTGTGTGTGCGTGTGTGTTGTGTTCAATTTTCAAACAGCGGTCAGGTCAGAGGGAGAGCTGAAAAGCGGTCGGTCAGTTTTGGGGGTGGAGCTACAACTTTTTTTTATTATTATTTTAATTAATATCGATTCATATGGATCATATATGGAGGATGCATCATTATTCACTTTGTGTTTTCTAACCATAGATATACATGTAATATAGTGATGGGTAGTTAATCCAATAGTTAAAAACACAACGGAACCATCTCGTAACGGGATAGTAACATTCCCTCATCATATGTTAGTTTTGACTTTTCTTATTTATATGTTATTTTTTTTACAAATTCGTGATTATATATTTAGTGTTGCCACTTGTGCGATGCACGGGATATAGTATTAAAAATATTTTATTATTAACTTAATTAAGATAATATGTAAATTGTATTTGGCACAACATATCAAATTTATAATAATATAGTATTTATTTAAATATTTTAATTTTTATTTTTCCAATTAATTTTATTAGGTATGAATTTGATTTGTTATTAGTTTATAAAATATTATAAAAGTGTAAGATTTAAAAATATAAAAATTGTATACAAATTACTTGCATGTACTTATATAATTATCGATTATATTAGTCTTGTAACTTTATTAGCAATTGATATTTTGTATATTGCTCGATAACTGACCAACGTTTAATCTATAAAATCATTTTTTCCTTATAATACCACTAATTGCATGAGATACTAACTTATGGTAATTAGCTTGTAATTTTTAGTAAATTTTATCACTTGTGCAACACAAACTTTTCATGGTAAATATTTTATTTTGAATTTTAATTTTGTGTCTATATTTATTTATTTAATTTATTTTTTTCAACATATATAATAATTCAATTAATAAACAATTTAAGCATTATGATATATGAGGGAAGTCTTGTGTGTTTGCTGCAACTTAAGAACTCTTATTTATAAGGGAAGTCATGTCACTTAAAGCTGATAACAGTCCAATAATTGTTGTTGTTGGCAATAAAACGGTCAAACCATTTTCAGGTGTTAACACACTATTACTTCACTGAAACGATCCGATGGAATTAACATCTCCAAATACAATGTATTTGGAGAGAATGCAATCACTTTTTTTATGTATCATCTTTAAAAATAACAATTTAAAATTACAATCCCTAAATTTATACATCATTTTATATTAGGAAAATATGTTAAATAGTTTTTTTTGTTAATAAAAGCAGAACATTGTCCTTCTCTAACAATTTAAAATTACAATCCCTAAATTTATACATCATTTTATATTAAGAAAATATGTTAAATAGTTTTTTTGTTAATAAAAGCAGAACATTGATCTCAGCACCATTCTCCTTCTCCATGTTATCTACATTTGACCATAAGAAATTGAATTTATGTATATCTAAGGACAATTGAGCTATAGTTTGGATGAAATCATTCTACAAAACTACAGGACTTCAAATTCTACCTACCTACACATGAACTCATCTAAGAGGATTCCAAAGTCATAATATGTGGAGATCCCCACTGAAAACAATCCCTCAAACCAAAACTGCAACGGAAAAACAGCCAAAAATTTTCCAATTTCACACTATTGTTACACCTATATAAAAGATCAAGTTCCCTTAATAATGATAATAAATAATAATTAAAAAAAAAAAAAAAACATGCCAGAACTCAAACAGTAGTTTCTATTATCATCTCGGCTGGTTTTTGGCAGGTTTTTGTAAATACAGGTTTGACAAACTCACTCCTTTGGTGATGACTTCTGACTGAGTCTACTTCTCATAATATGATCTGAGCCAGGTTTTTTGTTTGGAGATTGCTGCTGGGTTAGACCCAGCCCGTTTGGAGTAGCACAGTCGGCTTAAGGGCAGGTGTAACGCCAAAAGCTAGTTTTAGGAAGAGGTACTCACCTCATACGTATAAACAATAACAACCCAGCCAATTTGGCAATGGGATAAACCCACCTTCTAGCATCACTTGAGTAATCAGTAAATTATGAAATATAAATTTGATGTCCTCTACCTGTATACTCCAACCACGACCAAGGGAAGCCCCAGATAATATTGTAGCCGCAGCAATCTTCTCGTCATCTGTACCACCAACAGCAATCTCGTGTATCCTCTCTATCTCTGCTAAACTTACATCAAATACATAATCTTAAACTCAGTTTCTTTAAAAATGATATAATACAAGAAAGGAACATCTGATACCACTAACACAATCAAATTCAATTTTCAAAGCATTCCCAAAAAGATAAGCCAAGTAAGAGAAGTACAGTGGTATTAAAATGAATCTTCAGTTGTTATTCTTATAATCCCCCATTGATGTATTTGCTGAACCGTAAAGTAATTAGCGGATAAATATTGAACTGAATGCGATAAAACTACAAGGTAATACATCCAGCGAGATACATATATATAAATTTTCAGAATTAGAACTACAATCTACCTTGTAGCTGGAGTTGATGCCAATGCACTGATCAATGGAGGGGTTAAAGGAGAACCGCTCATTAATGATGACCATCCAGGAATTTGCCCAGAAATATGTTGAGGATGTTGATTGCAGCGACTTTTTACATATCCTGGCCAAGTATACGCGGACGTGTCCAAGATATTTCTAGCTATGCAAGATTCAACAATCAGATGGCGGAGGTTTCCAGCTGCAAACAATAACAAAGCCAGTTCAATGGCAAGGGATAAGAAACGGCAGGATAAAAAGGCAATCAGAGTAGTAATTATAATAAATCATTGCTCTCGTAAAATAGGTGAAAAAAAGGACTCGCACTAACACAAACGAAATTGGAAAAAGAAAAAGAACTGTAAATACAAATAATGCAAATTTGAATATGACATATGCCAATGACAAAGAGAGGGTGGAAGGCCAAAAGTGAAAGAGCAAAAGCAACTACCTTAACATTTATATCTTACAAACTATAAACTACAGAACCATGCAATAATGAGATCCTGCACGGACCTAATCAGAGAAGGTGCACGGACCCAATTGTGGAAAAAGCATGCAATTTCATTCGTGTTTGTCTATAATCCTATCTCCAAGAAACATGGGCGAAACTAACATTCATGATGGTCATCATAGAAGAAGCTAAATCTGGAATGTTATTATTCAGAGCATATGAAATGTACTCACAACAATTGTTAGGAACGTCGTTCAACATCATCTCATTAAGGTGCTCATTATCAGTGGAGACACCTGAGAGGAACATCATTGCTTTCATGGCGGCTTGGTTAGCCAAGGTATTTATACGTGATGGGGGAGTCAACAACTCTTCAAAATCACCCAACAACTTCAGGCTAGAAACTAGGTGTTCACGACGCTTTCCCACGGACTCATTACATTTTCTCTGACTAGTGGAGCTTTTTTCACCATTACTACTCAACGTAATTTCCTCTTCTTTAATAATATTAACAATGAAAAGTGGTGAAATGGACAATAGCAGGCTTAAACCAATCTCAATCCGAGGATCAGGACCCTCAATTAGATTCTTCTCCTGAACAAATACAAATGAAAAATGTAATACAGTGCAGCCATGTGACTTTGAACATTATAATGACAACTTTATGGCTCTACTAAACTCAGGAACTATTTAGTAATTAAACACAATGGCCAAAACAAATAATTTACAAGGTAAAATTTTATTGAACTCTTGAGAGAGAGAGAGAGAGTATTACTTAATGTTGATCCCAAGTTCTCTTGAAAGAGAAAAAATAATATTATAACTTTTAGGAAGAATGACAGATATATTATGCTGTTTTATTTTCTAATTCAGAGGTAATAATAATAATAATTAACTATTTCAGGGGTGCAAATCATTTTTGGACAATGCAGCAACAAGTTGAGGTACCGTCATTATTTTATAGAAAATAGAAATTAAGTTTACTCACTTTATAGAGCTTTACTTACTACTCAACCACGGAACAGGAGAAAACTTCGCTAACTTTTGAGATTGGACAAGGGAAATAATGACACAGTTTTGCTTCTTGAATTAACTCTTACCCTCTGCACAATACGTAACGCAGCAGTTCACAAACCAAGAAATGCATCCTGCCAAGTGGCGTTATTTAGAGCCTGGAGGGCCTTCACTAACCCTGTGATATATTCTGGATTAGAGAGTTTGTACACACCCACATATATGGCTGGTGAAACATAATTGTGCAAAACTGTACCACTTAGAGTTTCAGCAACACCGGTAGCAGTCACCATTGATCCATCTATCATGTCTTCTAAATACAGATCGATCGGAAGCCAAAGTGATGAATTAACAGTACCATTACATTTGCCACTAGATGACATTGGAGTTGATATTATGCTCAGTTTGCACGTACGAGAAAGAACTCGCCAGGTATCGGATGTCAACCGCAGAAGTGCCTCTGGAGAGATACTCTTTGAATTCCTTAAAGATGTTGAACGTGCACTCAGCAGTCTTAAATGCTAGCTGAAGCAATCCCAATGCGTAGGCCTACAAGCAAGCAGATGAATGCAAGCTTAAGATTCATGATGAAGACCAACAACTCAAAGTTCTAGTATATGCAGCTAAAAGGAAAAGTGGACATTATCTTTTATCTTCTCAAACTCTTCAGCGCTAGAATGAGTAGCAGAGAGGAAACAGAAAGAAATAAGAAGCTTACATATTATGACGGGCCAAGTAAAGTATCCGGGAGGTCACTTTATTCCGAAAAAAATCACCAATTATTTCAATAGCCATGACTGTATTCATCTTAATCCATGCTGCCTGACATTCCATTTTTTTTCCCTTCAATATCAACAAGGCAGTCTATTTCCAGGTCTTGACTTTTGATTGGCCACCTTGATTTCTTTCCGATGGTGTGTTCCAATAGACCTTCATCTTCAAGTGCTGCATCAATTAGCTCCCATACAATTAAAAATATAAATTCAACAAGAAGATGCCCTGGTTCAGAGGATTGAAGTCCAAAGATTTTGCGAAGTTGAAGGACATCGTCAATGGACTCCATAATCCTGAAATTGGATTATTTATGCTGTCACATACTTGTTTTGACATTTTAAGAGGGAAATCATAAGGTTTAAAAAGAAAATAAAAAGAAATCTAGGTGCTCCTATCGAATTCACACTTCAATACTAGCTCTTTCACCTGAATCCAAACCGACTAGAAGAAAATTGCGCTGATCATTTCCATCCAACCAAACAAAATATTTTGGTTGAATATTGATTTACAAGTCTATCACGCTAATAGTAATATGAACATACCCTAAACATGGGATTCCTTAAGTAATGCGTCAGATTTTCAGAAAACATGTCTTGATCTATAGGTGAGAATAAACTTAAGAGAGCAAACACATCAGGAAAACTTGTTCATAAATCTCCTTGTAACCCGGAGAACTTCCTAAACCAACCTGTGAAAACTTGTTCATGATTATCAAACGACATTACTCACTTTCCTAATTCTTATGTGATGTGCAACTTCACATCAAAGCCCACTCCCACAACACATAAATGCTTAGAAAATATAACATCTCACGCAGAGACATAACATAACACGATCAAGCCTTAAATATTCAAGAGAGTTGAAAAACAAAGCACACAAGTTTAAAAGCCCGTACTTCTGATGATTGGGGCCATTAACCAGAGATGGCAGTGAAAGAGCATATCTCCGCAGATCCATATACAATCTATAAGCCACCGGGTACCGCCTTCGACTGGCTATTACCCTGCTCGACAACAAGACGCCTGGTTAAAATTACCGCTAACAAAAGCCAACGACGCACCTCAAAAATCAACAGAAATTGATTACAGGAGCTCAGAGAAAAAATACCTGTTAAAAAGAAGAGCGAGAACGAGCAGAGGCGGGACGATGCGTGCGGTTAGCGCCTTCTCGAGGAACTTCCACGCGATTGGGGTATTGTTCGACCAGCAGATGTGGCATACGAGGAGCTCCGCCACCTCGACGGACGGCGTGGGGACGCCGGCGGCCGCAAGTCTGGAGGACAACCGCGAGACCCAAATCAGCGGGTCGGTGCCCCTATCCTGCGCGGCCTCTGTCAGCTCCAGCACGCCGTCCCAGAGCCGCCGCCGCTCCGGCGCCATGAGACCGCTGGATTCCGGAAAAGATTGTGGTGGAGGTAGGTTTCAGTGCATACGAATTGTGGAAGAGCGACGGCCAAAATTCCGACAACTGCCACACCCACACACTGATACACACTTTCAGTCACTGTTGAAACTGCAGGGAAAATACCGGAGGATTAAAAGCGATGGCGCGCTTACATAGTTACATATATATATTATATATTATTCAATTTTGAAGAGGAGAGTAGACTGAGTGAGGATTTGAGTGGAGTTTGAATTTACAAACCTTAGCTTTCCCACTAAAGAAGACAGCTTTAAGGTTTACAAACAAAACATAAAATGGTGTTCTCTTTGTAAACCTGTGACAAATCTTGTTTAAATATATTTTTTTAAAACAACAAAAAGTGCTAAAGAAAGCAAACGGGATTCACGAAATATAGGAACATATTTTTTTTCATGCCCGTAAATGGAACAATACCATCTTGGCCTGAGAGTGATTGGCCCACTAGTTGAAAGGGCCATAGCAATTATTTTATTTTCCTCAATGTGGTTTTGTTTAGTTTTATTATTTCTTTTTTATTATGTATCAATTTGTACACTTATTTAATAAGTTAATGACTGAAAATTAAAGTTATAAATTTTATATTATTAAAAACTAAAATCACTTAATCTTCTAAAATGATTAATTTTTATTTAACAAATTATGATAAATATAATATTTAGAAAACAATTGTTCTCAATTATTAATTTTTAACATTATGTAAGTTCTATGAAAGGAGAATTCTTTTCATTGAATAATAATGTTTCGGAGAATTCTTGTAGATGAAAGGAGAATTCTTTTCGATATCGAACCACAATTTATATAGTTAAATGTCACATCTTATCGAAACCACAATTTATACAGGTAAATGTCATATATTTGGAACGATAATATATATTTAATTGAATAACTGAAACAAGAACAAGTTATTCCAAAATTACTGCAAATCAAATTATGAATATTCTCCTTTTCAAAATAATCTACACAGAAGAAGAAAAATAATAGCCCTATATTTGTCCATATTTGAACCAAACATCTGTAACAAGATATTTGTGAATTAAAATTATAGTTCAAACTATATACATTTGCAACTACATGTATCACTATATTCAAATTCAAAGCCTTTTTTTTTTTTTCGCAATTTTAGGTGAGAGTTTCCCGCTAAATATCGATCTAGCTGCTAATCCAAACACCAACACCTGTAATTTGATTTCGAGATATCAAAAAGCTCATCCGGTGTCATATTCTCGATTTCTCGGGTGCTGAATGAATAGTGACCGTTCATCAAACTGTGCGAAACCCGAGAAGCCAATGACAAGTTTCTCTTGCTCGTTTGGTGCTTTTCAGCACGTAATCTCTTGTAGAGTCTCATTACAGATACGGAACCTTCATATGGATCATGCAATCCTGACTGGATTTCATACCTTCATATGGAATTATGGATTATGCCAAAGCATCATGACAACTATACTACTAGAAATATTGCATTTAGTTGCGTGCTTGGCTACAAATATATTCGCTCAAAATGAGTTTTTTTTGTTAGCCAGAGTTAATTTGGAAAAATGTAGTATGATTAGTTGTTAGTAAGATTTTGAATTTATATTAAAATAATATTTATAATAACATAATTAAATTTGATTTGATGTAAAAGTAAGAGGGAGGTGATGTGAAGTGATGATTAGTTAAAATTATGGGAGTTGATTAATATTGAATTAAATTGATATGATGTGTAAGAATAATTGATTGATATTATTAAATTATATTGATAATATTGAAGATAGTGGGGTTGAGTTAAAGTTGAGTTAAATTTTAGTATGAATTGAGTTTTATTGGTATATACAAACACACCTTAAATTGATGTCACAAAATTGCTCGTGATGCAAGAGTTATGCGCACGTAAATTTTATTGCGCGACGCTTTTTTCAGATGTTCTAATGTCATTAAAAGGAAATGAAAAAGGTCGATCTTTAGAAATTTCCAATATTAGTCAAGATCTGTTTGGCGCATACGGGACTCAATGGGTATTTTGTGATGTTTCAAGGGCTATTCTTAATATTTAAAAAAATGATGAAACTCGTTGTGATTATTAGGTTAAACATTCAGACTAATTTATGCAACTATTTTGTGATGTTTCAAGGGTTATTCATAATATTTAAAAAAGTGATGAAACTCATTGTGATTATTAGGTTAAACATTCGGACTAATTTATGCAACTATTTTGTGATGTTTCAAGGGTTATTCATAATATTTAAAAAAATGATGAAACTCGTTGTGATTAGGTTGATCATCCGGACTAATTTATCCAACTATTGCATTAGTGAAAACGATAAGATATAAGTTATAACCGATTCCCATGCAACAGATGTTGATGGAAGTATATCATGGCATTTGCAAAATGGAACGGCAAACCAAAGATAATCGAGGGATGAGAAAAACTTGCCCGAGATAGGTCTTGACTAGGTATTTGAGAGAGTGGCTTACAAGATTCGTTTTCATTAAAGGCGGGTACTTTGCTGTATCTCTGCAGATAAGAAAAGAAAATACATATTNAAAAAAAAAAAATCCTTTTATAACACTGTCCACTTTATTCCACTCCTCGTTACATTTGCCTTTTAAGTTCACGAGACCGAATGGAATTGTGATTCCACCTATAGACAAGTCTATAGGTTTGGATTGAAAAAACTAGCTGATAGTTGATAAGTGATTTTCGATCTTATAGATTATGAATTATAGCTGAAAAGCTAGCTTATTATGATAAAAGTGTTCAATAAAATTAGCTTCATATAAAAATCTCAACGAACTTATTTGAAAAGTTCCCTAAAGAAGCTTATGAGATAAGCTCAAGCTTTTTAAAAAAGTTCGTCCTACCAAACGAAACTTATTTGAACACAGAGAGCTTATAAACTAACCAAATAAGCTACTTATAGCTTATTTGATTACCAAACATAGCCTTAATCGGCTGCAAATCAACCTTTTTTATTTTCATTTTTCCTTTGGTGATTCACTGAAAAAAACTGCAATAACCTTTAAATGCCACCGAACCACTTCACCTGATCAAAAGATCGGGATAATGCATCTTTAGGCGATCCAAATCGTGCTCGAGCCCATGGCCCACAAGAATTCTACCTTTCCCTCCATGCAGCCTTAATATCCCAATCGACTCCCCATTGTAGAGAATATCAAGAATCTTCTCACGCACTTCCTCAAGCGGCATGGCCTCTCTCAGATGATCCTCTGTGATGCCTGTAATCTCGTACCTAAAGCAAACATTAATGAGCAATTAATATTTAATACACATGAACAGAGTTCAAAACCACGATCTACATACAAAATAGAAGGCACCTGTAATTGGTGACTGGAATTTGAGGTAGCACGTAAGTATGAAAAATCGGCTTTTCATACTCATCCACAAGGCAAACCCTTGCACACACATCAAGGGACCCATCACTACCACAACCGACCATCTCACACTCTAAAGCAACTGCCTCAGAATGACCAAAATCGGCAATTTCATTGTTCGGTGGAGGGTCGTATATTAGCGATTCTGAATAAGGCATCTTCATACTTCCCTGAACGACGCTTTAAAAAACCGAAGTCAAAGGCGGAGCTTGGGTTGACTTATAAAACAAATATTTATCCGAGGGAAACAAATGCAAATGCTAAACAATTAGTAGTTATTGCTAACCATAACTGAATCATCTCATTCGTTGTCTCTCATCTAACTTCAATTTTTTGCAGAAAACTCATACTACGGAAAAAAGTTCTTTCTTGTATGCAACTACATAAAAGAAGACCATTTGTTTTT